TCCATGATAAATTTGATAATAAATGTAACGGACTTGACTATTAAAGGATTTCGAATTGTTTTTGAAATTTTTGTAATCATTATTGCAAAGTAGACTAAAATACCTTTCTTTTACCTCATTCATCATTATGCTATCTGCCAGGACTGGCGAGTTATTTACATAAATGTGAAAATGTTTGGAGTGCGTACTTTATTTTGTCCAGTATTGTATATGTACCACTTTGATCAAAAAGTTCCCGGAATTACCACCAGGTGATACTCTGAGTCAGCTGATTTGAGTTCTGTTTTTTTGGTTAGATTGCCATATCTATCATTGACATTTCCACCAAATTTTATCGTCATAGCTTGACATTTGTAAAAGTTACGCCGTCTTGAGTACATCTACCTCTGCACGTGTTTTCGAGTTTTTACAGTTTTAAAAATGGAGTTGAATTTGCAACAACGAGTTTGTATTAAATTTTTTGACCAAGAACGAAACGAATACCATCCAACAGCCGTCGAATTCACCCGATATGGCGATTTTTTTCTGTTCGATCGAGTCAAAAAACCACTACTAAGAGGTAATGGAAAAATCGAAGACGGCTCTGATGGCTATACCGACAATAGAGTTCCAGAAATGTTTCGAGAGTTGGATCAAGCGCTGGCATAAGTGCGTTGCAGTCGATGGGGAATTTGAAGGAGACAATATCACTTTTGATGAATAAACTTGTATTTTAAATTTGCTGAATGAATTCCTGGGACTTTTTGATCAAGGAGTATGACGGAAGATGCGCAGATGTCAGAATGTGAACGATTAACACAAATTACTTACTATGGATACTTACCATTTACGCAATGAGTCACAATGAGTATATAACGTTTATTAATAATCGATCCTTCGCAATAAAATCGGCCTTCAAAAAGCCTTCGTATTTTGAAAGCAACATGGTGTGAATATTTGCCGAGCGGAGCATCTGCATGTACCGTCGATGATGTGCGATGTTGGTAAATTTTATGAAAGAATTTTACGCGCCGTAATTTATTTAAATATTAATAATTTATGTGTAAAATAATTTAATTAAAAATTTAATGAAAAAATGTATAAAGAATTTTAAAAAATACGTATACATTATGAATCTAATCACATATACACGCACATTATATTCTATTCCTTATTTTTATTCTGAAATTATTTTATTATTTTTTATTATTTATTACGCTTTATAAGACTATCAAATGTTCTTAAATATAAATATTTAAATAAATCTATTTCTCATTAATATTATAAAGATAATTTTCCAATTCAATCTATCAACTTCAAATTTGAAAAATCTCAAGTTGCGACTTATTTGTACTTTTACAATTATATTTATCCAATTATAATCTAATTTTAAATTAAACAATCTCAAAGTGCCAAAGCATTTGTATTTTTACAATTATGTTTATATTTACGCAGAAAATAAATTTTACAATTTGAAATGAATTGGATATTTATGATTCTAAGTGTTAATGATTACACTAGTCTGTGATTTATACAGTTTTAAATCACAGTCTGAACGAACTTTATTATTTCTTGTAGTTTTTTTACGTGAACACAAATCTATTTTCTAAATTTGGCTATTACGAAATGAACGAAATTTTGAAAAAAAGTTTACTCTCTCTCTCTCTCTCTCTCTCTCTCTCTCTCTCTCTCTGTCGATGCTTTTTATGACATCATAAAAACATTCAAAATTATCATTTTTACTCTTTGATGTCATTTTTTTGAAATTTGTAATATGATTGTCAAAGAACAATGTTTAAAAAAGGCTGTATTTTGTGCATTAATGAAAATATAGTGAATTTTGCAGATTTCTGTATGTATCTGTATGTATTTTATAATAATCAAGCACACATTTTTATGACAATTAATAAAATTGACAATTAAGAAATTGACAATAAAGAAATCTAATTTTTCCTTTTTTATTCTAGGTTTGCTGAAGATGACTCGAATGTGAACTGAAACGTTCTTGTATATATAATAATTATTAAATACATTAATTTGTTAATTGATTAATTTACGTATTATTTAATATATACTCTCGTCTCCCATAGTCAAATTTTCTTTTATCGTTTTTTATTTAGTTTTGAAAGAATTAAACTTGAGACAAAATTTAACTTTTTCTTATTTGAAATTGGCAATTTTTATTATAAATACAGTTATTATGTTTTTATAGATTTTGGTAGAAATAAATATCCGTAATTTTTAACGAGTCTACAAACTAAAAATATAATTCTTAATTATTTTTTTCTCTATAATTTTCATATCAAATATTTTTTACGGAACAACGGTACAGTTAAAATTTGTAATATGTATAAAATAAAATAAGATGTTGTGTCTAACAATACTTATAATAACATATTCTAGTGTTTCTGGGAGATGATTTGCACATGATTATTAAATATTTAGATATATGCATATATATATTTGAACATTGTACCACAATATGACACACATTATTATTATTAAACATGATACATTTGTCGATATCGCATAATTAATATCGTTCCCATTTCTTATCTAAAATCACAGATAAGCGGTTTTTCCAATACGTTATCTAAACAAGATTTAATCTACGATTTTGCGATTTTTAATCATAAATAATTCACAGTTTAACGCAGTTTCAAGGGACATTCAAAGGATGTCCCTTAAGGAGCTGTGTTATATAGGAAGTTTAATGTCATCTGCATAAATTATCTATTAGTAATAATTATTATAGTAATTATTCTATATCATAATTAAATCAAATCAAATTACTTCAATAGTTCAATTTTTATAGAAAATTACCATCAAAATGATACATTGATAGCAAATAAATAGGAACTTCATAAATAGTAAAAGAGAAACTTTTTTATTAAACTTTTTTATTAAAAATGTATAATGAAATATAATATTAATTGTTGAATATTTGTACACATAACAAAATTGTATTTTATGATTTATGCAAGACAATATTATCCATAAATAACTTTATTTTTATACAACTGCAAATATTAAAGAAAAAAAGATTTTTAAGTATAAAGATTATTTAAGCATTAGAAGTAGATATAATTTTTTTAAAATCGTGCAGAAAAATTAAATTTTATATTAATAATATATATCTACACATTTTTGATAAAAACAAAGCGGGAGTTTGAAAAAACTATTTCTACAGTAGAAGACTATATCCAGTTTTATGTGTGTGTGTGTGTGTGTGTGTGTGTGTGTGTGTGTGTGTGTGTGTGTGTGTGTGTGTGTGTGTGTGTGTGTGTAGGTATAACTGATATATTAATGTAACGTTTATTTAAATTGATTTATTGCTGTCGAGACGCTTCGTTCGTTGATCATTTGCGATTGTGTGTGTGTGTGTGTGTGTGTATGTGTGTGTGTGTGTGTGTGTGTGTGTGTGTGTGTGTGTGTGTGTGTGTGTGTGTAAAGATTGTTTATTGAAAAAATACGAGGTAATTTGATAGAAGAAATTTGCAAACAGACATGGAACTATTAGATTCGGCTTACTAAGATTTACTTATTAAGAAATAATCCTTATTAAAAGAAATTTCCCTCTTTTCAATGTTTTATATACATGCCTTCGCGATATGTTTTCGTAATATTATAGATGTTGTCAGGTGACTTGTAATTCACAAATGATTATCATCTTCAATAATGTGTCCAGCAATAATCATCATGTAAGTCTAATTTTTAATTTCTTATGCCTTATTTTAATCTTTTGACATAACATTTGTCGTTTAATAAACCTGGAAGCTTAATGATATTTGTTGGAACATTGCGCATTCGGCTATAAGATTGCACATTAATGATGTGTCAAACCGGGACTTTTTTATTCTTATACTCATGAGAATAAAAGTCCCGGTTTGACTTGAACCACCCACGTATATTATCAAGGAAACATATCATATTTTTCCGGACATAATTAAAAAGAGAGATATGTGACAGAGTATTCGATCACTTGCGTCACGTAAGTCGCGTTTCATATTAGATTCTGTGGCTTGTAAGTCTATGACACAAAAAAAAAAAAAAACACTTAAATAGTAAAACGTAAACAGTAAGGATCAAATCAACATGTTGGATTGAATACTACTTACATTATGGCTTTTACGGTTCTTACTGCGATTTACCGATTTGCTTACTGTTTATACGTTTCACTGCTTAAATTTTTTGGTGTGCCGTGGCTCTGAAGATAATTATCAATAACCATCAATTATCATTAATATGAGATTGATTATTGATATTTATTAGATTATCGATTGTTCCGATAGTTAAAAAACATTTGTTTATGTACATATTTATTAAAAATTAACGAAATTTTGAGAAAAAATTTGCTGCCGATGTTACGTCACAAAAATTCCCAAAATTTGATGCCATTTAATATAAAATTAAATGCTAGCTATATGTTATATTGATATATTATGTCATGATATAACGGCGAGTTACTGACCAAATGATTTCTTATAAGTAATCACTAGAATTCGCCACCTAAATAATAGAGGAGATATTAAGAAGGACCATTATGTCTACACTGGCCATAATGCCGTCTTTTCCTCAATACATGCAAATAAACATTATACATTATTACAAAGGAAAAGAATGTAAATTTGACTGTGCATAAGTTATAGAGAATGTCTATTTATTACGTTTTACGCCGTATAACAAGTAGAAACGTCATAGAATAGTACAGCATGACCATTTGTTACCGTCTATTATCGTTAATTATATTCAGGAACGAGATGTTTGTAATTACAATCGCTGATTTAGGATTGAAAGCTAGTCCGCTTAGGCAAATAAATTTTTGTACGCCGTTGACATAACGGCATAAGTAGAGTATATCGTAACTTTATTTATCGCAAATTGTATTAATAATTATTTTTCTTGCAAACATCATTGGAAGGTACAGTTACAGATGGAGGCGTTGTTTGTAATAGTTGCATCGTTGCGGTAGTTTCTTGGTCGGTTTATCTTGATTCTATCAATTATTGGTTCACCTTGTTCATTGCTTGCAATAGAGGGAACTTTTTACCGCAAGTTCCTCTAAAGTCGTCAGTATCGATACTCCATGTCATTAAACCTCCGAGACCTTTGTCTTTGACGTATTGAACTTTTACTTGAATAGATCTGTAAAAACATATAATTGTTTTAAAAAAAAATTGTAGGCGAAATGGATAATTAAAAATAAGTAACTATTATATATTTTTTACACCAATTGATTTAATTATTCTGTTCATGAAAGTATTAAGGTACGATTATAAAAAAATTAATAGTTCGTGAGATATTTAATATTTCACATCAATATATGTGCCAGAATAAACTACAATATTGTAGCAATATTGTTGCAAGTTCTGCACTATTGGGAGTGTTGGAATATAAACTATCTCATAAATTGTTGATTTTATGATATTTCAACATTAATACTTTTATATTCAGAATAATTAGAGGAATCATATTATATAAGAATAAAAGAATTATATAATTTCATTTAAAAAAGTGAAAGTTATCTTCATATCTTTTTAGCGCCTCCACTTAGAAAAAAACAACGTAACTAAAATACGACCCCTTCGAAATCGTTCCACTTTCATTTAAAACTTTTTTCGTGTCTTTTATATCTACTTTTCGAGATATTTCTAAGTGAATAGGATTCTATTAAGGACTCTATTAATAGAGTTAAGATGGAATACCTTGTATATAGTAGGGTAGAGCGGGGGCTATTTGAGCATAGGGGCAAGTTGATCAAATGCAAATATCTAAATAACTAAAATATATATAGATACGTCTATGCTTGCGTAATGTAGCACAAAGATTATTGTACCTTAATACAATAATCTGTGTCCGGCTATCAACAGCCAAATACGTACGCTTTTTCGTTTTTGTATATCAAAAGTAAAATTATTAGGTGAGTATTCTTTTTGGTCCACATGGTAATTAGAGCGATTGATAATAATCAAATGTGTTTTTTAGATATAAGTTATTATCGTATTTTTTAACTTTAATGTTTAAGTTGCTATTTTATTTACAGTTATAAAAAAGTTTTTCAGTTATAAAAAGGTATTTCAGTCAACACCGATATGGGGCTTGTTGGGCCAGTACCTCATAACTAACCTTATAAACTCAGCTGCTTAAATGAAATCTGTCTTTATCAATGCT